AAGAATGAGCTTTCCCCAAGCCTCAACCAACCATTTCTCTTCATTTCTATTTTCCATTGGGTCAGCAATAATTTGTAATTTCTATTAGTTCTTAAAAAGATATTTTAAATTAACAATAATTCTACTTATTCCAGGGTTATTACAGTCACGAAAATCAGCCAGACACAACATCATTCATCGCACATATTACCAAAACTTTAATTATGAATGTAAATATGATCCTTTTTCTCATCATACACGAAAGTAAATTGGGCACTCCTAGTCTACAATCTGAAGAATAAAATCTGGGAATTTTTGGAAACAATACCCAAAGCCACTCACAAGGCCGTACTCCCTGAAGTTGTAAGTGCTTCTCAGATTTGCCATTTATATTATGAACGATGTTATTAAATATTAAATATAATGACATTTTCAGATATCTCATTTATACAAGGAAACACAAAAAGCTTTTGATGATGACATTTAGAAGTGGCCGATCCAAATAATTTCAAACTTGCTAATACAAGATAACAGAGTCGATTGTGGCATGTATGTTCGTAAATATATAAAAAACTGTGATCCAATAAGAACCTATTTAATGGGATGTTCATAAAAACTGGCAAGCTAATATGCCTATATTCAGGGCTAATTTTGTATATGCCGTTCTATGTACTAATATAAAATAAATATTAAAATATATTGCATTATGCATATTTAGTAATTTTTTGCCATGATTTTATATACATTGCAATGGTCACAATAGGTACAAAAAGTGAACATGTTTAATATCGACTAATACTGATAGGTACCGAGAACTAATTGTGATACCATGAGCACTTCAAGCTAAAAACTAAGCTAAAAAAGTAACTAATACTGAGCTATACCGAATAATACTGAGTAATTCAAGTTTCTCAAATTTGTTCCATTCATTCCAAATGTTGCATACACCATGAGCACGACGACATTCAATTTAACTTTATAGTAAAACATTTATCAGTCAAGCTAAAAAGTAACTTATACCGAGCTATACCGAATAATACCGAGCTATACCGAGTAATTCAAGATTCTCAAATTTATTCAATTCATCGCAAAAGTTGCATACCCCATGAGCACGGTCATATTCAATTTAAATTTATAGCAAAATATTTCTCACTTAAGCTAACATGCAACTAATACCGATCGATACCACATAATACCGAGCTATACCGAGTAACTCCTAATAATACTGAGTAATACCGAGCATTTACATAAATGACGACTGACTCCCTATTTCTCTAGGTGTAAACCGTATGCTTGTAGAAAGATTCCTCTCTGTGAGTTTCAATTTTTTGCTCTTCCTTTTCTCCCAGTGATCCTTCATTCTAACATTAGAGATGCTCTTTGGCCGGCACTTTGCATGATCTTTAATAGTTTTATGTCCTCCCCTAGATATGCGTTTTTTTTTTTTTCTTACATAATTAATTAGACTTTTTCAGCCATTGTACTCATCGCATCGAACATACATTTTTCTGCCTTCTCATTACCCTATACTTCTGTGCTAATTTGATATGCAAATTGGCAAATATAATTCCTAAATATCATATTGCTGGACCACTCAATAGATTGGCACACATTATTTCTGATACATTGGATCTTCTCTCTAAAATATAAATCTTTTTGAGCTCTAGCTGACCATCTTGGGAGTAAATATTTTATAGGATCATAATTCTTATGTAATGAGAATATAATATACCCATCATCTTAAACTTTGTATAGCTGCATTGTATGGTTCCTTCAAAAGAATTAAAATTAACAATCCACTTGTGTGACTCAAGCGAGTTGTCTATGTTCTTGACGAAAAATGTAGATGAGTCCGGCAAAGAATGTTTAATGCATAGTCCACCTACATCATGTAAGAATTCCTCTTCAAAAAATGAGTATAACTTTCTCGAACAAAAATTGGCAGCTTGCTTTAATATTGAGTTATTTTTCATATAAGATTATATCTCCGTTTGACTACATCTAAAATATTCATCTTGTTCATTCCTACGCCAAGTCTTCATCACCTTTTCCAAACCTAGGAAATATTTAGTGATATAACTTGTTGGCTTGGAAAAATCATGACATAAATGATTGGTGGACTCACTATGTTGGGTAGATAAAATATCATGGTTAAAATAATTTTTGTTGAATACGGTAGACTACTTTTCCTTGATTTTGTAGAGATCTTTCAACTATTGATGGCTCTGGAGGTTCTCTTCTGTGATTATTTCATTCCACTTTCTTTGAAACTCCTTCACATAATCACACTTGCTGAAATAATAATAAAATATGCATTTTAATTTATTATTATTGTTAAAGCACCAGACTTTGGAAGGAGCCTTCTTGTACATATGTCATTGGCACAACCTATGCCGTGTATTAGGTAATGCAATATCTATTACCCTAGCCATTGCTTGGTCCTGATCGATAAATATAGTTATGGGATGTTTATTATCCATAATTTTTAAAAATATTCTAAATAGCCAGGTAAAAGACTCAATTGTCTCCTCAGATAAAAAAGTCACACCTAATACAATGTTTTGCCAATGATTTTTCACTCCAACAATAGGGGCACAAGCTAAATTATATTTGTTTAGAATGTAGCTTGTATAAAAAATAATCACATCCCCAAAACAGTCATAATCAATTCCCCCCAATCCATCAACCCAAAAAAAATTCAATAACCGATCATCTTCATCAGTTTGGACATCCCATTCAAATATGTTGTCAGCAGCTACCCATTCTTTAAATAATTGGATTAGTAAACTTGTGTCCCTATTCTCAATCTTGACTCTTCTATCTTTTTGAATGTAGTTATATGTATCCCTCTTTGTGAATCCCAGATTTCCTACACCTCCCACTTCATCTGATAGGTATATAAATGCATTAACTGTTCTTATCTCAACTTCTAACATAGATTTCGGAACAGATGCATTCTCATCACTAATATTTCTAGATGATATAAGCAAGTGGTGATCATCTGGCTTAGCCAATTCATGATTATGACTCTCTATCAATTTTTTTACCATCCAAAATCCATCTTCATTAACCGCAAATCTAACTATAGTTGGACATCTGGTTCTTGTGCATGATTTTTGAAATTTTGCCTTTGTGTTGTTGTCAATCTCTTTCTTCAATCCTGCTTTGGAACATATAAAATCCTTTGATTTTATTTTTCTTGAATTTGGCTAGAATGAATGATGCTCTTTCCGAACACTAAAACCATGAGAATGCATATAATGTCAATATTTATCATATGCTTCATTCTCAAAGTTGTAAACACCGTGTCAAAAATTAATTAACATTCTAAACAATTACATGTATAAATTAACACTGAATTTATACCGAATTTATATACCGAGATTCAATATCAATTAACTATACCTAGAATTAATACTGAGATGATCTTCTGATATTGGTACAGTGATCAGTATTAGGTACTATGATCTTGGATTTTCTCGGTACCAATGTACAATGAGTTTATACCGAGCAATACCTATCAGTACCGAGCAGTATCGATAAGTTGATATGTCTGATATTCTCGGTACTAAGATCGGTACAGGTACTAAGATGTTTGATTTGCTTGGTACAACTTTGCAATGAGTTCATACCGAGCAATACCTATAAGTACCAAGCAGTACTGATCAATACCGAGTTGAGACGTTAATCTCGGTACACAAATCAGTACTAATGAATAAGCTCGGTACAGGGTAGTATATAATCGAGATATTGCTCGGTTCAAATGTTCTTAAAATGTTGAATTGCTGATTAGACATAATATTCGTCTATACCAAAATATATCCGTAATCAAGCATAAAAAAGGTGTGCATACATAGCTAGAATTTAAAATTTTATATTATAAAACCTTTTCAAAGATAAGAAATTACTTGTAATAAATCAGAAAAATCTTCATCAAGATTATACGTCCCTACAGTTTCATCGAAATATTTGAAGTCTTCCAACGAGAAATCCATTTGGGTATCTTCCATCTCCTCGAACCCATCGCGAAATCTTTCTCTACAGTATGTAAACCCTAAATAATGTATAACATCTTTAGAATAATCCGCCAAATGGTTATTAGACATTTAAAGAAGGCGCATGTTTTTAACTTTTCGAACCCAATTCATATGGACTACGCCGGGCCGGTCCGAAATAGTTTAAAACATGTGGAGAATCTACAAAATAGAACGGGTTTGCGACGGGTTATCGGGCTGCTATGTGGCGCCATTTAACTGGTGGCCGGAGGTAGAGCTACGTCCGGACACCAGACACAATAAAAATCCGTGCCTCAGGGATCTTTATCATAAGGAGAGTTTTGAAGGTGAGTCACTAGAAATGAGTGGTGAGTCCCAAATAACAAGATTGAGTCCTTGGGAGAGGGAGTCAATCCCCTAGGTGGTAGTGACTATGAGTCAAGGATGAGTTCAGTTAATGAGGTTGTAGTCATAAGCTTCTAAGGTGTGTACTTCCTATAGCTTGAGCAAAGATGTTTGTCGTAGGCGGGTTGCAATGATCATGGATAATCATTGCGGGTTAGCAAGTTCTGTTTAGAAAAATGACCCTCATAGCGTGGATGGGTCTAGGCTAGCCGTTTGAAGGAGCTCACTAAGAAGATTGCACCCTCAATCAGATCTCCCAAGGCGAGTCTATACACTAAAATTTTCAAAAGAAAAGCGGCTCCTCTTCGATGGGTCAATGTCAAGTACTGCATGTGCATATCATATTGTTTAATGATTGTATATTGTATTTTAAATTAATAATTACTTTGAAATTTAATAAAAAAAAATAAATTAAAAAATGAATGAGCCTTGAAAGAATATAAATCGGACTCCGCTCATTTTGCTCTTCATATGTTCAGCTTCAATTAATCGATCATCAACCCCTTTGTCCCATCATCGGCATCCTATGCATGCCCGAACGAAAGTCGAATCCGATGCGGAGACGTTGCATTACGAATCATTCTAATAAACTCGAATCCGATGTGGAAAATTCTACGGACGAGGTGACAGTAATACATGGCTTACATGTGTCACATCTCACAGCACCTCTTCCAATTGCTTAGAGAACAATCCATCCATTTTTATAAGATAACGGGCCATGGCCGTGCTTGGGCATTCATCGATCGCACATCATCCTGCTTTCCCTCTCCAACGTTAAGGGATCCCAAAATGGCATATCGGGCGGAGTGCAAGTTTGCCGCCTCTGCCATAGATGAAGCTTCCGAGGTTACGCCTGATGTGGAACCCAAAATGGCTTTTCGAGCGGACGACAAGTTTGCCGCCCCTCCTGCTACAGACGAAGCTCCCCAGGACAAAGAAGACGATGTTCTGGATGTGACGTGCGGCGAGACCGACGGCAAAGCTGCGTCAGTACACATCGTGCACTTGATCAGGCCGGAGAGCGAGGAGCCTGAGGCCTTCGATATCCGGACGCTTGCTTCCGTCATCGGCAGGTTGGCTCATCTACTTTTCTCCGTTTTAATCTAAATTGTTCTTGTCAGAGAGGGGTTAGGGCTAGACGGCTAGTATTTGTTTGTATATGGACTTTGGGGTTTCTTGACTTTCATTGCCATGTTTGCATCTTTTGTTTTTTTTAGTGAGGAGGCGGCAAAGGAGGCCGTAGTCTACCACTACACTCACGCGGCCAGCGGCTTCTCGGCCAGGTTGACTCCCGAGCAAGTTGCTCATCTCTCTGGTTAGTATTACCGAACAAATTTCGAAACCAAATAATCAAGGCCATGATTTATTGAAGATGCTTCAGCCAAAGGGCCAAAGCAAATGCTAAATCTGATTAAATATCGATAAATTGATTTGTTTTCTTTATCTTGTTAACATTTAAGATTTCAATGAATATGGCATTTCAAACACATGAAGTCAGATACCGTAAATCCCTTGGGTTTAGCAAATCCTGGTAAATCATAAACCGGCAATAAAAAAAAAAAAAAGATTTCAACAGCCGTCGGATTTACATACTCGAAAAAAACTATTTTTATAAAATTTATCTTAAATCGTATTTAAATCCTAATTAATTCTACATACCAAATAGGGCCAATGGATTTAAATTATAAATGCAGTGAGCTAAAATAGTCCTAACTCAAATGCTTTAATGCAGAGAAACCTGAAGTTCTGATGGTGACGCCTGACACGGTATGCCAACTCATCCGCTGAGCCTGGCTGCTTGCACGCCTGAAGATTTCGTGTTATCCCACCATGTTTATGGTTCAATCAAGGTGCTATCTTACCAAACATACAGCTTTGCTTGGATCTTGTATGTAGTTGAATAACAATATGTATTAAACAATTGGTACGTTATATTATTTGATATGAATGAAGGATATGTTGCCATATTGCTAAATGCATCTTCTATGCTTCTTATTTTGTATTTCATCCTGTGCTTGTCTGCCTGATGACGTTAAAGAAATCATATCTGTTTCTTTCATTTCTATTTGAATTCAAGTATCATGGAAATTTTGTCGTTTGAATTTTAGCCTTGAGATTCATATTGGACCATTGATAAATCGTTTGAGGCCTTATGCTATTGAAGGGATTAAAAGACTTGTTTTACTATCAAAACCATGAGATTGAGACAATCGATCAAAGGATTAACAGGAATTTTATGTGATCCAATGATTAAGAGTTAGTTATGCGGAAGTTGTTATCTTACTTTTTTTAGTGGGAAAATATATATAATATTTACAACAATTTTCAAAAACTCTACCTATCTCACAGTTATTTAACTACTAGTTTTATAGATTATTGTAAGCATCTCAAATGAAATCTTAATATTAATCTATGAATAATAAGCTGACCCGTACTAATTTCAAGCTTATACCATATAAAAAACATAACTATTCAATTTTTTGATCATTAAATACATCATAAAATGCTAAGGAATTTGATTCATCATCATCAAATCATAAGGACCAAAGGATGGTTCTCTATGGGCTTCAGAAAATGAGTTATTTTGTTGAGATGATAATCTCATGCATCGCATCCTTTCATAAAAAATTGAAAGTTCAAAGCACTTGGATTGATTTATAGCTTTGGCTATAAAATTCAGTTTTGATAAATCAATGAAGGGGGAAAATTAGCCTTTATCTTTCTTTCTCATTTAATCTCTCATCATCAAATTTCTTATGCCGGCCCAGTCCCCTCCCTAGTATCTGTGCTCTGCTTTTGCACTTTATTATTTCTATGAAATCGTATCTTTTAGAGATCAGATGTCTTTGTCTTTCAATTTTTTGACAGTTTCGTGTGGCTATGTGACTTTTAATTAAGGCACTATATTTCGGTGATATTTGTCAAATATATATATTTTTTATGTTTGTACATTGATCTCCTTAAGGATGCGCATTGAGACATGGTTTACCCTTGAGTTGAGCTTATGGCTTTCATGAGCGACAGACTTCATTATCGTGCCTTAAAACAGGCAGCAAAACTTTCTGTCATCATGATGTAGTGAACACTAAAAGGGCTAGGAACACATGTTGTCATTACCACTGATAGAGAATTTGAAGATCATTAATAGTGAAGATGAAGCTCAAAAAGTAATTCCAAACAACTCTAGTTTTTTCATTCTTAAGGAAGTTGTGTTCACTAATATCAATATTGGAATAATAATAATACTTAGATACTTATGTAATTCCTTTAATTTATGTGATCCTGAAATTAAGGGTTAGACATATTTAATAAGTCAAGTGCTGACTCAATATTGCATGAAAATGCAAATACAATAATATGAGAAATAGATGATTGAGATTTTCTGTCACTTAAGCCAAGGAATCTTTTGTTTGAATATGGCTCAAACATCTGAAGGATAAGAGGGTTATAGATACATAGAAAGAGCGTCTGACTTCGAAAGTTAAAGATCAAACATGCCTAAGTAGATATAATTTATCTAGATAACATAATCTCTTCATAGATATGCTCTGCATAAAATGCATTAGATTAAGGAAGGCAATCCAATCAAAAGGGCATGGTTAGATTGAAACTAGCCTTAGCCCAAAAGTTATTATGAAATTAGAAAATAGTCCAATAAAAATAGAATGATTAGACTAGACAAGACTTAATTAGAAGATGATTGTAAAGTGTAAATTATGTACTATTTATTGTATTTAATTTTACTAAATATATCTTATTTTAGTTGTGTTTGTGCAAGAAATATACATGAAAAAGAAAAAAAAAAACTACAAGTGCTAAACATCGCTATTAGATAAAGCATCACAGCATTCTGATCATCAATGTTGAGGTACCTAATTCGTTATTACAATGCCAATTTCTCTATTTTCTAGTGTCGCAATAACACTTAGGTCAGCGTCGCGGCGTAACACAGTGCCGCTGCACCCAAATTTAACACCGTAGCACTAGAGCCTTGGAAAAATGAACGTCGGAACCCCGAGCCTTGCAATGCCTCAGTGCCAAACATCACATTCAAGCACTGCAATGCTCAAATTCTGGAATGCCGCGATAGACCAGTTGCCGAAATGAGGAGCCGCGCCAACTCAGCCGAAGGATGCATCGTTTAATCCCATAATTGTGTCAGGTCTGCCAAGTGCTACAACGGAGCAGAGATTACAACATCGAGGTGCTAGTCCATTTTATACTGTGCACCATGGTGCCTGAGCCCGCCCATGTACTTATTATAATCTATTTTTCAATTCTATTATTTAGAGAATTATGTCACTTGAGCAAAAAATTATAATTCTTAATTTATTTCTTTAGTTTCCCCTTAAAGTAAAGTCTAAAGGGAGGCTAGGTAAGTACAAGTTACTTGTATTAGGAGATTTTAGCCTGTTTTGTGAGAGCAAATTTATTATTGGAGAAGATGAATTGATCATTTTGGATGGCAATTTTCTTATTACCTCTTTTGTATCTCTTCTTTTAATGAATGAAATGAAAAGAGTTTGCTTGTTATATCTTCCTTATATGGCTAATCCTCTAGTTTTGGGCTAATGATATAAAAGCATAGTAAGTACTAGTGCTGGCTATTGTGCCTTAATGAATATATAGATGTTTTTAACATCTCTCATTTTTTCATTTAATGCATGCAATGTCCATTTGTGTAGTTAATATTTAGTATGATGTATAGACTTGACAGAGGAATGCTGAAACAATTAAGAGTATTAAAATGGAATGTTGGCATGCCTAGAAATAAGATATTTTAATATTATAGGTTCTATAAAGATATTCAAATTTTAGGAAGGCCATAAGCTTTTTTTTTACCCTTACATGCTTGATAGAGATCTAGGGATATATATGCTTTGATCGACATTTAAAAGTGAGAATTTTATTAGGAAAACTATATTGTTGCATTCATTATTAAAAAATATTTCTTTTTCATTGAAATCAAATCTTCTTGTAAGTTTTTTTTTAAGTGACAAAAATAAAAATATTCATTTTTTTTAACTTTCAATGGGATAAATTGTACATTTGAATTAAGTAGTAGTAGTTTAATTGCAATTAAGCATAACACTTTCTCGTTGGATCGATACTTTACTCTTATACTTTATTACTTGATCGACATTTATACTTGCGTATTTTAGTAGGATTTCATTATTTTTATATCAGCAAAAATCTAAGCATATTTTCACATCAATCAAAGCAAGCGCCAATTTAAAACATCCCTGCTTCCTATCAATTTTTGGCATTGTTGCCAGGTAAGTAGCGTGTGTATTGCAATTTAAATTATATTATTCGAAAAGTGCATATTTAGGCCTATTTGTATCCTTTTTTTGTTCTGTTTGATAAAATTTTGAAAAATGTCAAAAAAAAAAATGTTGATTATTTATTATGTGAATTTTATTTTGTTTGTTTCATAATTGTTGCATGCTCGATAATTTAGTAAGAGTGATTGTTATTTGACCCTGAGATAGAAAAGACCCTTATAAAAATTTTGAAAAAAAAAAAAAGATTTAGAGATATCTGAATCAATGTAAGATCATGATAATTTTAGACATTTTAGAGAGTATGTTAACCTTGTTGTATACGAAATCCATCAGGGTATCAATAAATTTATTATCCAGGCCAATAATTTTGAACTAAAATCTGTCATAATTCAAATGGTTCAAATTTTTTTAGTTTTGGGGAACTATTGAGGATCCTAACTATTTAGAAAGTTCTTGCTAGAGTTTTGGTTAACAAATTAAAATTTCTTTCAAAAATTATATCTGAGGACTAAGTTGCTTTTGTGCAAGGGTGGTCTTTGTCTGATTATGTGTTTCTTGCCCAAGAGGTGTTCAACAAATTAAGATATTCCATGGCTAAGAAAGGATTATTGGATATTAAAATTGATATGGAACAAGCTTATGATAGTATGGTCTGGGCTACTTTATATCAAGTATTGAAGTATTTTGGTTTTCCTATCAAATTTTCTAACCTTATTATGGAATGTGTACTTAATCATAGATTTTCTATTTTGATCAATGGAAGAAAGTCTAGTTAGATTGAAGTTAGAAGTGGGTTTAGACAAGAGTGTCCCTTATGTCCCTACTTGTTTATCACAATTGTTATTTAATGCCTTTATGAAGGAGGTCATTATAATGGAATTAAAATTTCTCCAAAATATGTAAATATTATCTCACCTTCTATATGTAGATGACGTTCTTTTTTTTTTTTCAGAAGCAAGCACTAGATTGTTAAGAAGTTGAAGAGTATTATAGCTGATTTATGTAGCTGGTATGTTTAGAAAGTCAATAAAGAAAAATCTTTACTTGTATTTTGGAGGCAGTTAGGAAGAAGAAGAAAAAACATATTTTTAAGATGTTGGGTTTCAAATTTATTAAGGAATTGAATTATCTTAGTGTGAAGATTTCAATAAGGAGATTAGTGGTTTTAGTTTTTCAAATATGATGGATAATGCTCTAAATATAATGAATGTGTGGGGAAATAGATTCATATCTATTGTTGGCAAAATTTTACTTGTCAAATTTGCATTTCTTTCTCTTTCTATTTTTTAACTACACATTCATTAGTTCCTATGTGATTATTGAATGATCTATATAAGATGTGTAGGATTTTTATTTGGCATAAGTACAATGGAAAACATGTTCTTCACTATGTTGCTTGGGAGGGGCTTAACAAGCCTATTTAGATGGGTGGTCTTCGTCTTCATTCAGCTATGGATAAAGTTGAACCTTTAAGATCTAGATTTGCTTGGAAATTCATCATCAAAGTAGAATATTTATTAAATATGAATTTAATATCCAAGTATGGGAAAGATATAAAAGTTTGTTAGTGTTAAGCCCTATGAACTAGTCCTGAGGCTAACCAAGAGGGGGGGGGGGAATTGATATTTTAAAATTCTTTTAAAAAAAAGAACGATTATCACAAACCAAAATCACAATGAAAAAACAAATGCGGA